TTGATGTACACTCTTAACGCACTTTAAATTTTTGTTCTCATTACGTTTTGTCCCAATTAAATTTGACGCACTTTGATTTTTTTTTTTAAAGTGCGTAGACGTTCAAATTGCGTAATTTTTTTGCCCCCCCCCCGAAAATGGAGGATATTAATTTCAGTCTGTCTGTCTGTCCATCCGTCTGCCTGAGACACTTTCGTTTCCACATTAAGTACAAAAAATGTTGAATGGTTTAAAAACGTATTTGTGTTGGGAAAGGTGGTGTACCACGCGCGATTGTGATAAAAACAAGATGACCTGTGAAACACTATGCCCCCGATGGTAACAAAATTCTGGAGTGGGCAAATATTACAGTTTTTCAAAATGTCAGGTCAAAGGTCACAGTTGAGGTCACATGATCAAATATTACTGTACCAGTGGAAAGGTCTTGTCATAATGAACACTGATGTCAAATATTAAAGCCTTGCCTTTGGGCTAGGTTAAAGTTGACAACAGATGGATAGAAAAACAGACAGACAGGACAAAAACAATATACCCCCGGGATCTTTCGATCCAGGGGCATAAAATCGTAAATGTTTGGAACACATGCCGTGACGGATATGTTTTCTGGTCCCAAGTTTATAAAATAACTCAATTTTCAAGGGAATCTAAGAAAAAAGACAGGTGTAACGTTGAATTTTGACCCGGGTTGAAAATTGACCCGGGGGTCATTTTTCAACGTTGAATACTGAGACCAAAGGTGTTGAATTTAGACCCTAATCCGTTGAAAACTGGGCCGGGTCGTGGAATTTTGATCATGAAACCGGTTCAAAATTCAACAGCATAAAAACACATATTTATGATTGGGTTTTCACTACTGTGACTTAATTCATAGGTATGAGGCCCCGTTTTGGTATTTACTGGAAAAAGTAATATCCCCTATTTGAATAAGTGATATCACCTGTTCCAATAGATGATATCACCTATTTAATTTGAATTTGTGGTGTCACCAGTTCGAAAAGGTGATATCACTTATTCGAATTGGTGATATCGCCTATTCGATTGGGTGATATCATCTTTTCCCGTCGCACACCTGTAGTTTATTTTTTGCTTAAAAATTAATGTATTTCACTTATATATCATGTAAACAACAAGAAAATCGTAGAAAACGCATGAAAACTGGGTAGTCCGAATTTTCTTGGTTCCAGTGGTAATCTATATATTATAGGGATCATTCATTAATGACTGTTGTAAGAAACTTAAATAGGTAATATCATCTTTTCGAATAGGTGATACCACTTATTCAAATAGGTGATAGCACCTATTTAGCACGAAAAGGTGATATCACGTTTTATTCTAAGCTCTCTGACTTGATCACATGATTAAGTATATAACAGCATAAAGACTTGAGTTATAATTATAGAATCTGAAATGCATATTGACTTCATGTTTTTTTTCTTGTGATCATATGCTATATTGCAGGAGTCCTTTTAGAAAATTTCATTAAAGTGAGTGACATCGATCCCCCCCTCCCTGCCTGGTTTTCTCATAGAACAAGTGTTAAAATGGAGATACTTTTTTGTAAAAACAGAAATAGTATTGATTTCTCAATTAAAGATAATATAGAATATGACTTGATGTTTCTGAAAAAAAAATACTACAACTTGTATTAATATTTTTTAATGTTCCGTAATTGATGAGACGTAACAATGCCTTGAAATCTTTAATTAGGATCTACATGTACTTTATATTAAAACATATTGGATATCTTTGTCAAAAATTAAATTAGCATTCTCAATAACTAAATCCTCTATAATTACTCCATCAATGTATAAAACGAAACACATTTATTTAATATTAAACAGCAACAGCTTAATTTATGCTGATCCCTAGTCTCGAAGTCTTGAAGAGAGAAAACTTGTGCCTTATTCCCAAAATTTTCAAATTTTGTTTTGTCAATTTATGTGATAAACGATTTATATTCGATAATAATGTGAACTTTACATTCCTATTTAATTGAGTTTACAACCAATTCTAGTTTAATTTGTCACATTTCCCAGAATGCAATCATGGCAAGTATTGAAAAAGAAAAAAAAAACATCGCATAGGAGATCATAGAGATAAAATTATGTAATAAGATGAGAAGTTTATCGAATAGGAATCGTATTTTTTCGAATAGAAATGGATGCTAGTATGTTTTCAAACAACAATTTCATTGCATATAAACCAAATAATTATCGAATAAAAAAGAATTATCGCATAGGAATGACAAAATTAGCGACTAGCAACCGATTGTTTTAAATATTAATGACATCGAAAAGGAAACGCAAAAATATGTAAATTTTATGATATATGAATCATATTGTCACATTTCCTGTAATTGGAATAGCAATTTATCGAATACAAATTACAAATAATGGAATAGAAATAACAAGTAATCAAATAGGAATCACATTCTGTAGAATAAGAATGTTTTAGAATAAGAATAATCTCATTCTCAAGGTTATGGTCCGAAAGTGATCAAGCCGAGACAGTCTACCGACAAATAAGTTAATTGTTACAGGGATTTCAACAATTTATTTAAAGTCAGCATTACTTACATGCTATGGTCGCTTTATTGCTCTTTTCACAAATATAACCTATCATTGGAATCATTTTGGTCGATGTGTTTCATTCTATTATTTAGGCTATAAATTTTGTTATTTTTATACTGAATTTGACTAGATGGGATGTTCCACCCACCTGATCAATATATATAGGGCTACTTTCTAGATTGCAGATTTTTAAGATTTTTGTTTTATGCCCTATTCGTTGTTTTGTAGTTATTTATGGATGCCATGGATTTTGGAAAGTATTGTCAAAAATAAAGTTGTCATGCTTGAAGATAACTAAAACCGTGCACTGTTCAAAATGTACATGTATACACGGGGTGATACTGTATGCTTATTTCTATTATTCTTGAAAAAGGAAAAGAATTGAAACCAAAATAAATAATAAGATACTGATAAATCCCGTAAAACAACTTCCCAGCTAAAAAAAATGTCCAAACTTTCAGGTGGGGTCAATATTCAACAGGGTCAATTTTCAACTTGTTGACGTCATCAGGTGTAAGAAAAAAAATATCAAGCTGTTGAAAAATGACCCCGGGTATAAATTCAACGACTTTTGGTCTCAATATTCAACGTTGAAAAATGACCCCGGTTCAATATTCAACGTTGAAAAATGACCCCCGGGTCAATTTTCAACTCGGGTCAATATTCAACGTTACACCGGCCTAAGAATCGGACAAGAGTGATACTATGTAAGTCAAGTTACGTTTTCGACGACCATTTTCTTACAATGAAAGGCATTGATCGAAGTGGTAATTTTTTTCGTTTGGATGGAAAGTTGGGTGTTTCTTATAGGATGTCAATTGTTACTTAATGACACGCCCATTTCTCTAGAAACTTGAAAGAAATTCGTCGTAATGCTTTAGGACACTCCACGCTTTGCGACTAGCAACACGAGATGCACTAAAATGGAACTTTGAAAAAAAATTAGAATAGAGAGTTAGAGACTCTCCGCTTCTTTAAAACACGAATTGCATCTAATATGTACATATTTATGAATAGAGTTACCAAAAAGACACGTTTTGGTCGAACACATGTTTACTCGTGTTTATTTAGAACGTCAATTTGATTGGCTATTATATTTATGGAAAACCTGTTCTACAGGTCCCTTTCTAAAGAAATGGGCATGTCATCATATGACAATCAGTGTTCTAAAACAGCTCAAAATGTTCCATTCGAACGGAAAAAAACACTTCATTGCAGTTCATTGTAGGTTAAGTTAAGTTACTTAGGTCTGAAATTTTCCTGTATGCGCTATTTTTGGCAAATGTTTGGTACACCATCTATACCCTGTGAAGTAATTGCACCGAAAATTCAATATGGCTGAAAAATGTCGAGATGATGGAATTTTTTTTCTGTATATGAGTTTTCTGTCAAGTATTTGATAGGTTGATTGTGATTGATTGTGTTTAGTAATTTAGTGGACCGTGTTTGTACGTTTTATGGAAATATTTTGTAAAACGAAAAATAGTGTCTTTCCACAAATTTTATTTAAAATAAACTTTGTTGTTATGACTACTTTAAAGTTTATTTTTTTTTAAAAAAATGTGGAAAGACAGTAGGCAAGTTTTTTGTGATAAATTCACTATATTTTAGACTATAGCTAGATATTAGTTGTTTTTTTTTTATGGATGGCTGTGATTTTGTATTGTAATAAATTCCTCATCTTTTCATAAAATGTTTTTGTTTTTAAATGGATTAAAAATATTGTTCACTATCGCAAGTTTTTTCTTCTTCAAAAATCTGCTGCAAATAGGACCCCTCGGATGCCCATATTGAATATGCTGTACACTACACGTTTTCACTTGATTATAAGGCGTAAATCTACTACATCGGGGGAGTACGGTGTAGACAAATCAAGTGCGACCACTATATAGGAGTCTTTAAGAAATGTATTCCCCTATTTAATGTTTGTAAGATTAAATAATTGCAGAGTCCAGTCGGGTCATTTTTTAAGTGGCTGAAACTACAGAATTCACATTTTATGCTGCATAGTAAGAATTGATTCAGCCAAATTAGAGAAGCTGAAATTAAAGAAGGATGCACAGTGAAGAAAAGATCCAATAACTATAGTAGCAGATCACTTGAGTAACCTTCAAATCTCCCTACGTGTTTGGCTGAAAATACAGTTTACATTACATTTACATTATCACTATAACCATATTACAGTTGTAACCTCTTAAAAATTGAATACTACTTGTCTAAAAATTATAAATATACATTTCAGTAAGAATTGAGTTAAAATGTGTATCATCTGGCGGTAATGATTCAATGTCATTTGTGATAATCTGCTGACTTGGGATGATTCTGTAAGTATATACAAGGTAGCGACCACTGCTTATCAAGTACATTTGTAACAGATCAAGATTGAATTAACTCTGGTACAAAGTCCAAGGTGACCAACACTGAGTCATTCTTCACATATCTCTTTTATTAAAATTTCTACGCATGACAATTTTATAAACCTTTGTGTCATGTGGAAACAAACACTTGATTCTCCAATAAATAGTACACATCACACAAGCATCAGTTGGAAGATATGCATTCTTCTAACACTACATTATATATACACAATTATATAATATTCATAACTTAATATTGAATGCAATAAAATTGTTAATGTAAAGTTCTTGAGACAAGTACAAGACTGACCATTTCTACCTTTTATAAAACACACAAAATCTTTCTTTAAAATTCACCCCTTTTCTTCTTTCTCAAATTTATTGTACCTTTGAATTATTGTTCATCAAAATCAGCATTAATGCATACTTACCCCCCCCCCCCCCTCCAACATTTCATAATACCTCTTATTTGACCCCCCTTTCAGGGGGATGTTAATTAGGGTCTGTCTGTGTGTAATACTTTTGTTTTTGGAAGAAGACTGTCAGCTTCTGCAATGGAATTTTACATCACAACTTACATCACAATTCCCTATGGCCTTGAGAAGACTATTGATTTTGATGTAAAAGGTCATATCAATGCATTCAGTAACACTTCATTTCTGTGCAATATCTTTAAAGGATTCGGAGCTTTTGCAATGAAATTCCAAATGATAACTTTAGTTTATTTGATCTTTCATTAATAAAGATTAATATCAAACTCTCTATGGTGTCAAGAAGAATCTTATCCAGTTTAAGGTCAACAGGTCAAAAGTCATAAATTCATACATTCTGTGACCTATGGTATAGTTTGAATTTATACACAATTATGAATAGATTATAAATCAAAATAAACACATAAAACATTGAGAACTTCTACAATCTGTACATCATTCACTTATGATCCAGACAAACCTTAAACACTTTTCATTCCCCTGGTAAACATAGGACTAGAACTACATGTATTTAATTTCATAATCATTAAGTTTAAATCATATCTAGCCACAGTTCCAGTGAGCAATGGTAAACCAGCAACCCAATGCAAACCACAATGAACCATGTCTGCAGCTTCAGCTGGCCAAGGCATCAAATGGCAACAAATTTTATAAGCGCTGCATTATGGGTTACCACCAGTTGTAGGCTAAACTAACAAGTTAAAAATAAGTCCAACTTGTGAATGAGTGGCACTTGAACTTCATGGATGAAATAAGTTTGACTAGACTCCAGTATGGACAGCAAGTCATGTTAGAACTAGCCAGTTTAAATCAGATCTGAATGGAGCTGTGTAACAGCTCTGGTTGGTGTTGAGTTCTGTAATAGTTATCACATTTATATTAGGTCTGACTGGAGTTCAGTCATCCCTCTGGTGAGTTGAATAATTGGTATCGAGTTTAAATCAGATCTGACTGGCTGTACTCAGTCATGAGTTTGTCATGGGTATCGAGTTCAGATCTGTTAGGAGCTCTGCCATGGTTGAGCACAGTCCTGAGTTCTGTAATGGTTACTGAGTTGAAATCAGATCTGTTAGCTGGGCTCAGTGCTAAATTCTGTAATGGTAGTCGAGTTTAAATCAGATCTGTAGCTGTGCTCAGTCCTGAGTTATGGAATGAGTATCGAGTTTAAATCAGATCTGATTGGAGCTCCGCCATGGCTCTGGTGAGTCGTTTCACCCTGTCCTCCATTGCTTTTTTATTGGCCTGCGTTTCCTGGAGAAGTTCCCTCATTTCATCCTCAACTGCTGCAATCTGAAAAATATTATTTTCGGTTTTTAAATTTGATATGTTCATAAAATGAGGCCAATTTGGCCACATTATTAAAATGTGTCACTTTGGTCCAGCTACTCTGCATAAGATTTTCCCCCCTGTGTACATGTGTTCCCATGTAAAATTTCAAATGCCTGTTGGTAACACACATGGGCCTATGATGGATACAAAAAGAATTAACACTACCAGAGGATGTTTCTATATAAATATTCACATACGTTTAGATTTGTCCAGTGGTTCTTAATATTTAGAGAATGTTTTAATAACAACATCCTATTTTTGCCCCTGCTTATCTTCCCTTTGAAATGGACTTGACCCTTTAAGTATAAGTCACATTATCCAACGATGGGGTATACGATGAGAAACCGATGCGTTTTTTGATGAAAATGGCGTGGTTGCCGGCCGGGCACCACTAGTGATCGGACGGTGACTGAGTCTTTTTTGCGAATCGGTGGGGTCATCGGTAGGAAATTATTCGTAGTTAAAATTCAGCGATGTCTCCAACGATGCCTCACATCGCTCCTCATTGGCAACCCATCATTAACACATCTTTCAAGGATCGGCCGATGTATGGCCGAGCATCGTCCAATATCCGTTGAATCTGAGGTCATCGGGGAGTTAAGTGGTGTTCAACAGATAACGACCGATCATCGGTCGATGTTCGACCAAACATTGGCCCGTAGTCGACCGATGTACGAACGATGTTCACCAATGTATGGGCGATGTAATATGCATCGGCCGATTATCCTGGAACATCGTTTTATGATTAGCAATGCATCGCTAGGCCTTTGTAAGTCCGGCCGGCAACCACGCCATTATTTCTCATAAAACGCATTGGTTGCCCATCGTATGCACATCGCTGGATAATGTGACTGATACTTTTGGGACTACTAGGCCGATGTGGACCGATGTTGGGGCATCGTTAACACCACGGATTACCACCGATTACCACCGGTCTACGGCTACCGGTCGGGAAATGTGACCTAGACATTAACAATTGAAAGTCCTCTTCACTGAGAGATGCTTTGTGACAACATTGGTTAATTCTTGAGAATGAAGTTGAAAATTTATGGGTGGCCAGACAGACAGACAAATATACTTCTGATGATAAGCTCATTTGAGCATTCAGCCCAGGTGAGCTAAAATACCTTAAATGTACTGAGGATCACCTGTTATCAAGTGGCATAGAAAAATACAATAAACGTGTCAAGGACAGAAGTAAGACAACAAAAATTTTTTATCTCCTACTCAAAAAATGTACATTGTATCCAAATAATGCACTTTACAACTTCTCTACAAATTATACATAAGTAAAACTGACATCATCAGTATATTTAGAATCCTAATTTGACAACAGTAACACATTTTACTTGTTATTCCTTTAAATACTGAACATTGTTCTTGAACTTCTTCCATAATAATGTCAAGTCAGAATAAAATCTCATCAGAGGACATTTACACTGAAAGTTATTTTGTAATTTTTGTTGCATTATACTAGTTATGAATATTTAACTAATGTGCATTTTGATCACATTTAAAAGACTATATACATGCACTATCTTTTGAAAACCAATATTTTATCACAGTTAGTAAGAACCTATTATGATACTGCCTTATGAAGATAGGAGATGCAAATTTGATCATTAATCCACAAGATTTATTGTATTGGGGGTGTTACAAGTAGTATATGTACAAATTAAAAAAATGAGTAGTCATTAATTAGCCCCAAGTTTCAAGCAACTGTCAGTATCATAAATTAAAAGAATGTGGAATAAGTGGAAATTTTAGCAAGATGCAAATTTAGCAATTTGTCCTTAAAAATTGGTATGTTATTTTTAGAGAGATGAATTCTAGGGTTTTAAAATGCCTACTACTAAAGAAACTATTACAAATAAAACATAATTAATTTTTAGCGGTATTCAATTTTAGTGATTTCAGCATCCTCGCTTATAAAGCTAAAATAAAATCCTCGCTAAATATTCTGCTTATATGGTACAGCTGTGTATACTATAAAAGTTTACCTATGGATGACTTGATTTGTTTCATGTGTGAAACTGTTAATACCTAGCTTTTAATATTTGTAGTTCTTTGATTTACAGAAATGACACAATCCCTGAAAACCCTCAACCACATCATGGGCTGAAAAAGTTCAGATTAAGTTTAATGACTTGGTGGGATTCATTGTCATATCAGGAGTCCTGGTCAAGTGGACCTGTAACATGCCTGTTATAGAAACTCCCAGCTCACATCACTCAATGACTTATTAACACCAGGGCTATTTCAATCAGCTGGCTATTTTAATCAGCTGTTAAGTACCTTGTGTGATGACACAGAGGCATGCAGTCAGTACTACAACAGGAAAGTACCATGTACCGCTTGTCATTATAATGCAGTGAACTGACTAAATCAATCAGCAAATATGCTGAAAAATACTCGTCAATGTCAAGTACACACATAATGAACTGTAATTAATAAAAATCAGAACTGTAATTGAACTAATGAACATTTGTGAATATATTGTGATTTGGGTGTACAAATAAAATTCTAAGCAATAAAAGCTTATACTTCATTGTGCACTAGTGAAGACTTGATTGCACAATACAGAAAATAGCATGCATGAAAAGAACCAGTGATGTGTATTAATATACACCACATTCAGGACAAAACCACAAAAATATATAGAAGGAAGTGTTTTAAATATTATTCCATTCAAGGACAAATACATTTATCAACACTGAGTGCACAGTAAAGTGCCCCCCTGAAAGCTCTCCGATTTCTTTGAAATGGTTATGATGTTCATTGTCCTTTAAAATCTCACAATTTTCTACCTTTTTTATTTTTTGAAAGGAATTAATCACCTGACAAGTAAAATTGATGCAATTTAAACATGTTAAAAATCTCAAACTATAACATATTTATTCTGCCACTTCCTTTTAAAAACATAACACATTTTGATTTCTTTGACTATTTTAGCAAAATTATTTATTTTTACAATAGTAGGAAATGCCAGTTGGTTGGGTACAAATGTACTATTGAATACAAAGCAAGATTGATCACTGTGAAACTTAAAAGGGCAGAAAAGAAAATCTTGAAGTGACTTGCTAAACACTTGCTGAACCAGCCATATAAATTTTTGAGAGCTAATCCGCATACTGTAAGATCACATTTTTTCATGGGGTCAAATTTTCATGGTTTGAGGAAAAACACTTGGTTATATTGTTGGGATTTGATTTCGTGTATGAAGACTTGTTGAGTAGTTATGTATGGAACATTTAACATTTAGTGGTGGAAATGAATTCGTTCTCTTCTTGCCTTCAAAACCACAGGTACTTGTGGACAGGACCCCCCCCCCCCCCCCCTTCCGATATTCAACCCCGGGGCTTATTATTTTTTTTTTTTCCAAAAATTATATTTATTACACTTATTCATCATATGTACAATATGAAAAAATCGTCAAAACGCCAAAACAATCGCTCCACAAAAAAAATACCTCACTATACATTATAAGGGAGAAAGGTATGCCACTCCGGTTTGACATTTCCCTAAGTAAAAGCAACGGAAGTGCATAGAGAATGTATGATAAAACCCGAGAGAGATTACTACGTCAGTCCAAAACTCTCTCGGACGTTATCCTAATAAGTGATACATTCTCTATGCACTTCCGTTGCGATTACCTAGGGAAATTTCAACGTTCTGACTAGAAAACTGTTTAAGGAGATAATCAGATATTGTGGGATTTTTACGAGATGCAGAGTTAATCCGATAGCATGCACTAAGACAGAAATATATGTAGAGACGATGTGAATTGACATTTTAGGTTGAAATAAATTAAATACATGGTGTTAATCCCAGAAAGACTGGTGGGGGTACAACGTAAACAAATCGAAGTGGCATACCTCTCTCCTTTATATAATGTATAGTGGGGTATTTTTTGTGGAGCGATTGTTTTTGGGTTTTGACGATTTTTTCATATTGTACACATGATGAATAAGTGAAATAAATATAATTTTTGAAAAAAATTGTCCAATAAGCCCCGAGGTTGAATATCGGGGGGGGGGGGGGGGGGGGGGGGGGTCCTGTCCACAAGTACCTGTGTTCAAAACATTGAAAATTAAACCCCCAAGAAAATTTGTATTATCACAGTATGTCAAATTTTTCATCATATTTTTCACTAAGCAGACTCTTCTCTTAAAATTTTCATTGTAAATCTTTACTTTTTTAAAGCTTAAAAAATAAATACTCTATACTTTCCTTATTTAACAATCTTCTATTTGGAGTTCAATTCTTGCTATACATTGTCCTTTTGGCATAATGATTGTTGAGTTATTCGATTGTCAATACTCTAAACAATGTTATGACCTGAATATCTGTTAAATTTAGAGCTTCCTTGACTCTCCCGCACAAGAGTGGTACATGTAATACGTTAGATAGGTACTTATAATATTACATATTAAGTCTATCTCTAACTAAAAATTCTGCTTGGATGATTAATTTGAATTTCTTACCCTTTCAATGGCTGATTAATTTGAATTTCTTACCCTTTGATTGGCTGATTAATTTGAATTTCTTACCCTTTGATTGGCTGATTAATTTGAATTTCTTACCCTTTGATTGGCTGATTAATTTGAATTTCTTACCCTTTGATTGGCTGATTAATTTGAATTTCCTACCCTTTGATTGACTGATTCATTTGAATTTCCTACACTTTGATTGGCTGATTAATTTGAATTTCTTACCCTTTGATTGGCCTGTTCTAGTTCCATTTGTTTTTCCTCCTCTAGTTGAGCCATGTCCTCTCTGTGTTTCATTTCTTTACTCTCCAGCTGATGTCTGAAGGCATCATCCACTGTCTTTAGCTTCTCTATGGCAATGCTGGAAAATAAGTAACACTTCAGAGAATGCCAATTAATAAATAGTATTGTATTACAGAAAAAAATTGGCTAAGAAGAACTCACTTATGACAAAAACTTAGTTTTCAAATCTTGTAGAAGAAATTTTAGTAAATGTATCTTGTACTGAAAAAGAAATTCTTGGTAAAAATATACCAAAAATTAAGTATGTGTACTTGGCTGCCTGTATTGCCCTGTTACCACTACATACTTGTCTGCCTGTATTGCCGTGTTACCACTACTTACTTGGCTGCCTGTATTGCCCTGTTAACACTAAGTACTTGGCTGCCTGTATTACCCTGTTAACACTACATACTTGGCTGCCTGTATTGCCTTATTAACACTACTTACTTGACTGCCTGTTTTGCCTTATTAACACTACTTACTTGGCTGCCTGTATTGCCCTGTTAACACTACTTATTTGGCTGCCTGTATTGCCTTATTAACACTTTGTACTTGTCTGCCTGTATTGCCCTGTTAACACTACTTACTTGGCTGCTTGTATTGCCCTGTTAACACTTATTTAGCTGCCTGTAGGACTTAACACTTACTTGGCTGCCTGTATTGCCCTGTTAACACTACGTACTTGGCTGCCAGTATTGCCTTGTTAACACTTACTTGGCTGCCTGTATTACCCTGTTAACACTACGTACTTGGCTGCCTGTATTGCCCTGTTAACACTTACTTATTTGGCCGGTATTGCCCTGTTAACACTACGTACTTTGCTGCCTGTATTGTCCTGTTAACACTACTTACTTGGCAACCTGTATTGCCCTGTTAACACTACTTACTTGGCTGCCTGTATTGCCCTGTTAACACTTACTTAGCTGCCTGTATTGCCTTGTTAACACTTACTTGGCTGCCTGTATTGCCTTGTTAACACTTACTTGGCTGCCTGTATAGCCTTGTTAACACTTACTTGGCAGCCTGTATTGCCCTGTCTACACTATTTACTTGGCTGCCTGTATTGCCTTGTTAACACTTACTTGGCTGCCTGTATTACCCTGTTAACACTACTTACTTGGCTGCCTGTATTGCCTTGTTAACACTACTTACTTGGCTGCCTGTATTGCCCTGTTAACACTACTTACTTGGCTGCCTGTATTGCCCTGTTAACACTTACTTGGCTGCCTGTATTGCCCTGTTAACACTTACTTGGCTGCCTGTTTTGCCCTGTTAACACTACTTACTTGGCTGCCTGTATTGCCTTGTCCCTTTCCTCTGTCAGCTTCCTCTCCTTGCTTTCCCAGTTGTCCCTCATCTCAGTCACCTGTTTCTCCAACTGACCAATCAGCTGAGACTTCTCCTTCCATTTATTGTTAAGAATGCTGGGATAATAATAAACAAAACATTTTATCAGATTGTTTTCACACTTCCACAATTTAAAAAAAAATATTCGAATAAGATAAACAAGAGGCCCATGGGCCACATCGCTCACCTGAGCACTGTGGCTAGGAAAAAGTAGAAACCGGTTTATTATTGAAAAGTTTAAATCCAAAAGTAGTCCCTTGACCAATCATGGTTTTGCTATTCTTGAGAAGATGATTTTTAAAGAATTTTCCTATATATTTCTATGTAAAACTTTGGTCGGACATTGTGGCCCTGCCCTACCCCCGGGGGTCATAATTTGAACAAACTTGAATCTACACTACCTGACAATGCTTCCATATAAATATGATCAATTATGGCTTTGTTATTCTTGAGAAGAAGATTTTTAAAGAATTTTCCTATATATTTCTATGTAAAACTTTGGTCGGCCATTGTGGCCCCGCCCTACCCCTGGGGTCATGATTTGAACAAATTTGAATCTACACTACCTGACGATGCTTCCATATAAATATGATTAATTATGGCTTTGCTATTCTTGAGATGAAGATTTTTAAAGAATTTTCCTATTTAATTCTATGTAAAACTTTGGTGGGCCATTGTGGCCCCGCCCTACCCCCGGGGTTCATGATTTGAACAAACTTGAATCTACACTACCTGAGGATGTTTCCCCATAAGTTTCATCTTTCCTGGCACAGTGGTTCTTTAGAAGAAGATTTTTAAAACATACCACCAAATTTTCATTAATTCCCAATTATCTCCCCTTGAATGAGGGCGTGGCCCTTCATTTGAACAAACTTGAATCCCCTTCACCCAAGGATACTTTGTGGCAAGTTTGGTTGAAATTGGCACAGTGGTTCTTGAGAAGAAGTCGAAAATGTGAAAAGTTTACAGACGGACAGACAGACAGACAGACGACGGACAAAATGTGATCAGAAAAGCTCACTTGAGCCTTCGGCTCAGGTGAGCTAAAAAGTTCATATCGATTTGATAACCTTATTTTCAAGAAACACAAGTAAACGGGCAATTATTCAGCATGTAAATCCCAGTTAAACACTATCTAGACCTATACAGTATATAAACCAGTACCTGTGAGCCTTTTTTGAATCCTCCAGTTCTGCTTTCAGATCCACAGTTTCTTGTTTCAGCTCTTGCTTACGTTCCCTTAATCTCTCCAAAGTTTCCTGAAGATAAACAAGAAAACAAAAATAAGCAAAAATATCATTTCTTGTTATTACCTATACCTACGAAAGTCTTCTGGTAATTATCTAAATCTCTATACAAGCTTTACTTTATCAAATTTTCCAGAACTTTATGTTACAAGTTACATTTTATTTAAAGGGCATGTCTGAGCTGTACATTACCTGAGCCATTAATTACCTGTGTACACCTGAGCTGTACATTACCTGTGTTTACCTGAGCTGTACATTACCTGTGTACACCTGAGCTGTACTTTACCAGTGTACACCTGAGCTGTACTTTACCTGTGTACACCTGAGCTGTACATTACTTGTGTACATCTGAGCTGTACATTACCTGTATACACCTGAGTTGTATATTACCTGTATATACCTGAGCTGTACATTACCTGATTTTCCTGCATGGTTGCCCTTTCCTCTGACAGTTGTTCCTCTAGATTCCTCTGTGTTTTCAGGGCTTCTTCACGAGTTCTCTTTATCTCCTCGTCTCTCTCCATAACAGCCTGTCAAGTCATATATTAACTCAGATTTATAAAAACTCCAAAATATTTGTTTACCGTAATTTACGGAATATAGGTCGATACTTTTTTTCTCAGAACCGCTGGGGTCGACCAATATTCAGAATTCGACCTATTTAAGGCTCAAGTTTACGAAAAATGCCCCCAAATCAGTAAAATTTACGTCAATTTCAAAGCAAATCTGTGCCCCTTTCGTAACTTTTTTGATTATTTTTCGCAAAAAAAAAAATAATGCCCCGGTAAACAATAACATATTTAATCTAAAACTTTCTTACAAAATAAATTCCATTAATTATCCGTTGGTGAGAAAGGAAAACAACATTGCTTCACCTATTAAATAATTCCTCAACGTATTATCCATTAACATCATGCGGTATCCATCTTGTGAAGCTAGGAAGTTGCGATCATGTACTAAAAGTAAAACCGCAACCGTATCAAAATTTAAAATACAGAAAATTTTCACGATCACAACTATAGTGTTTTTACCATTTATTAGAAGCGATAAATTGAAATAGTATATTAAATATTTTTTATTGTCTTATGTTTATTTAAATAAAAAAATAAGTGAAATAATTTGTTGCTATTATTAAAAGCTTCGTACACAAGAAGTACATTGAACTACCGGTATACAAAGATTGGCTTCTAACAGAATTTTAATTGTCTGACAGATAAAGGGATTTACACTGTGTACGCAAAGGTGTTAAATAACACCTGTGTTATTTAATTAATTGCCTGCAGGGCATGATTAAGAAACCCACGTGCCATTATAGGGTATTAGTGTTACACTTCATTGAACAAACAAAGCCGTGAAATTCGTGTTGACAGTCAAATTGTGAATATACTCCCAATTAAATTTATAAATTAAACTTATAGAGTGTTAATATGATTTCAATTCTTTACTGTTGCTTGATATATACATTCAATGGTCATTTGCGTCATTTAGCCAATCCCTGGAGTAGAAAAATAACAATGGCGGACATCGAAGTAATTGTCGTCCACCGGTAAATACTGTCTGAATAAAATTTATTAGGAATGTGTCCAAGTTATTCTGAAATCGGAATTGCTATTCATTGGTCTCGGGTATTTCCCGAATTATAGCTGTAAAAAAAATAACGTATTTACGTGTTATTTATGCCTCTGATTTAACAACAGTGTGAAACTATGGAGGCATTGATTGATTGAACACGCAAGTTGGAGAAAAATAAGTAGTAACTGTAACACAATTCAAAGAAGTTTAACTACATTTTATTAAAAACTTTATTTAAATGCTGTACTCATTAAAATACCTGTTTATTTTCTTGATACGATCATGTCACGGAATATCCCCGGTAATGTTAGGGTTTTACCTGTTCTAATACGTTGTATCTGCGTAAGAATCGTTAGAAAACGGGAAAGAAAGCCTCGTCCTATATAGTAAGTTCGCCCTATCTTAGGATTTTTCAAAAATTAAGGCTGAAAATGAGCCTTTCGACCTATATACCCCATCGACCTATAATCCCAAAATTACGGTATATTAAATTTTAAAAAATGCCTGAAAAATATGGACTTGGATGCATACTTAATTCTGCAGGGTATATTACAGATTAATTTCCTAAATTTGAGCAGGAGTTCATTCTTTTAGGCAGTTCTCAGATGCAAATTTCTTTATTTTTTTATAACTTGGATCAATAGCATCTTCCATTGACCCCGCTACTTGTGTGTACTTGACAGATTCTCACCTCCTTCAGTTTCCTGATGGTCTCAGTCTGATCCTCCAACATTTTAGTTTTTATCTTTAAGGCATCAGTCTCCCTCTAAATATCAAAGTCAAATAGTTACAATTTACGTGTAGAGAAAATATCAGGAAATATGTCTCAAAAATTATTTACTGAACAAAATAAATAAAAGGGTGCCTTGTGCTGTATTTCATAAAACATCTTATCAATAAAGGAAGAATTCTGGTCTAGTTTTTGACTAAATGAAATATTCAAAGTGTGTGTCTCTAACATTTATATGCCAGAGATTTAAAGGGTTCTATTTTTTCCTTCCTTCTCACTGTAAAACTTAGATCAAAAATAAGCTGGTCTAAGCTTTATAGCCCCCAGGCCAGTTTGGGAATTTTTCACGCAAATAAAGACGTCACAATTTACCGAAGAAAGGCTTCAAACCTAGACCTTACTTGGCACTCAATGCCATTGAGCAGCGAGGTAACACTAAACGTGACATCAGTCCTCTGTTTTAAGGTCTCATCCGAATTACTTACAACTTTTACTTTAAGAGCACCGAGTGCTGACGATGAAACAGTTGCTATTTTTCCGACTTATATGTATCACTTTTTTCCTACCTTAAGAAAGTGTAATTTAAGCTTACTCTATTTAATAGACATTTATTTCCATAAGTTTAATTGACGTTATATCTTACCCTCTAAAACAGGAATACATGTACTAGCGATACAGATTTCATCCTCAGTACAGGTAGGATTCAGACAGTTGCCCACAAAATGCTAAAATTAAAAAAAAACTTAGAGTTACAATTAATTAAATATAATTAAATTCAGTCTTATGTAAATGTTAACATCTCCTTCTTACCATTGGAAAATTATTCCGTTGGACATGAAAGGTTGGGCCTTTAGTCATTAGACTACTGTTATTCTTGAGGACAAATCTTGTGTTTAGCCGGCATGTCTTTTCTTCTTGTATCCAATCCACTGAGCGACACAACTGAAACTTGGAACAAACCATCATACACATTGCAATGTCAGCATTTGTCAAAGGGTTAAAACCTGGAAGTGAGGAATTTTTAAAATTGCTAATTAGCAGAGTTTTTGGGTCGAATGGATCGGAGCACTGAGTGTAGCATGTCTGTAACAAAGCAAGAAATTGTCCAATACGGTATAAACTGATCATCCTCAAAGAATTATAAATATTAAAGATATTTATAATTTCAAATTTATTTTGGGTAGTTTCCTTTTTTTCTGAAATATAAACAGCAGTCCTTAAGGTATGCCTTTATCAGATTGATGAATACCCACATGATAGTTTATATTTAGTATTGCTAAATAATCAAAACACTTGTATTTATTAAAATTTCAAAAGCTTTGAGTGAATTGGAAAAAAAATTCCAATTATGTTTATAAAACATTCATGAAAAATCGAAACATCAATTTGTTTTTATCTTTGTGTTCATCAAAATTAGTGAAAATAGGTTTTTTTTATTCCTTGGTCTTATTTCAGGTTTAATGCTATAAAATGCCATCTCTCGAGAGGTGACCCATTAACATATATTCTCTGTAAGCAGCAAATCATTTTCTAAAGAGTTTGGAACGACATCCCTCTGATTTTCATGAAATTCGCATGACAATTGCATTTTGGTACAAAACCTGTTTGCAATGGAATTGAATCCATTCATTTTTGACGAAATAAATACATGAAAATTGAAGAAATGTAAAATATTTTTTATCTTTAAATCAATGAACTCAAACATAAATGTGTTAACTTTTAAGATTCCATGACTAAAATATGATTTGTTTTTCATAGTGCTTTAAGTGTTTCCAAGTGCACACTTTGAAATTTTTTTTCAAAGTTTGCAATGGAATTTGAATGAAAAAAATTTTAAATTTGGCCATTTTTCCCAATTTTGCACTGTGAAAAAAATTTTTCAAATACATGAAAATTGCCCAAAAAAAGAAATTTGTAAAAAAATATTTTTTATCTTTAAATCATGTAAAAGTGAATTAAATATAGGAAAGACATAAATAACTAATATATTGTAAAAATTTTAGAAAAGCAAAGAAAATATAGTTTATATTGTAGCATTGCTAAATAATCAAAAACTTTTAAAATTTCATGAACTAAAATACAATTAATTTTATTTTTCAAAGTGCAATATATTTTTATCTTTGTGTTTCCAATTAGTGAAAATAATATATTGTTTTATTTCAGGTTTAATCTATAAAACGCATCTTTGAAAATTTTATTTCAAGCAGCAAATCATTTTCTAAAGAGTTTGGAACGACATCCCTATGATTTTCATGAAATTCGCATGACAATTGCATTTTGAAAAAAAGGTTTCAAAGTGCACCTGTTTGCAATGGAATTGAATCCATTAAATTTGGCCATTTTTGACGAAATAAATACATGAAAATTGAAGAAAAAAAATTTTTTTCAAAGTGCATGTTGCCAAACATAAATTAGCTTCATTAACTTTCGGAGACTAAAATACAAATTAAGTGTTTCCATTGTAAAATATAAAATGTGAAAATTTTTTTCTCTTTTGGTATTTAACAAAAAAAACGTTATGTTTTTGCATCTGAAAAAAATTTTTTTTATCTTTATTTAAAGCCCAAAAAAATGAAAAACTTTATGTTTTTGCATCATTTTTTATCTTTATTTGATAACTTTACCATATGTAAATTAAATATAGGAAAGATATAAAAGTAACTAATATATTCTAAAAATTTTAGAAAAGCAAAGAAAATTCGGATAGTTTATATTGTAGCATTGCTAAATAATCAAAACACTTTTATTTATTAAAATTTCAAAAGCCTAGAGTGAACTGGAAAGAAATACAATTAATTTTATAAAACATTCATGAAAAATCGAAACATCAATATATTTTTATCTTTGTGTTTATCTCAATTAGTGAAAATAGATTTTTTGATTCTTGGTTTTATTTCAGGTTTAATACTATAAAACGCCATCTCTTGAGAGGTGACACATTAATATATATTCTCTTAAGCACCAATCATTTACTTAAGGGCTTGGAAACGACATCTCTCCGATTTTCATAGATTTTGCATGACAAGTACATAACCAAAAGTTGCACACATGCACCTGTTTGCAATGGAAATGAATTAAATATGGTCATTTCTGACCAAATGAAAACATAAATATTGAAGAAAAGAAAAAATATTTTTTTTATCTCTCTGTAGTGAACTCAAACATAAATCATTGTATCATAAGAAAGCAAAAACTTTAAAGATATACATAGCGTATATATTTATTTCAGAATGAACCCCACTCTAAGAAAAAGGTCCTGAAAATGATATAGTTTTTGAGCCTGTGAAAAATAAGATTTTTTTTTTTGAGAATTTTAATGAAATTTCTTAAACTTTCAGTGTGATTTAATACGTCGTGATTAGTAATGTTTTCTTATTTTGAAAACAAAAATGGAGTGGGATCTCAATGCTATTTTTATGTATCTATAAAGAGACATACTCCAGTATTTCAGAAAAATCTGCTTTATCAAATTTAAGCAGAGCTTAAGATGCAATTGCAAGGTTATAATGATAATTAACACTTCTGTCACCAGTAATCTTACTGAAAAGAGCTTCTATACCAAAACTTGGGTAAATCTGAATTGCAAATTTTCTAATGTTATCTACGGAATAGAATGCACTTTATGTGGACACGTTTATGATGGTGAAACAAAGGGATCACTGAAGGTAGGATTCTTCTCTAGTTTCTGACTGACTAGATGAATTATTCAAAGTCCATTTGCTTAAATGTTTTAAACATGTATATTAAGGTGTAAGGAATTTTAAAGACGATATTTTTCTTTCCTCATAACAATTGTACAACTTAAAAAAGAAACGGTATACCGCATTGAAAACTAGCAGGGACTATATTTTTGTGAAATGGCGGAGTATGAACTTTTCTGTCTTGACAGAAAGACTTGATGAAATTTTCAATTGTAAGTTTAATTAATAATATGGTACAAAAGTTCTTAAATTTATTAAATGAATAAAATTTTTCAAACAAACTATTATCATATTTTTATAAGCTTCCAATCTGAGTACGAATTAAAGCCAAAAACTAGTAAAAGCATTTTTTTTTTCTCTCTAAGTAAACAATCAAAACGTTTTTTAATTTTTGTATCGTTTTGTATCTTTTTTAAATAACTTTACCATATGTAAAAGTGAAATTTAAATATAGGAGGGATATACAAAAATATATTCTTTAAAAAATTTGAAAAAGAAGAGAAAATTCGAATGTAGTCAATATCCATTTAGTTTAATTACTTACATGTATGTCAGTTTTGTATTACTATCTTATTCGCCCTTTATGGTAGTATCTTGTTATATAAAAAAGAATAATATTCAATCTTTTGAAATACAACGAATTGATTAATTGGCAACAATATGCTTTACTATTATCATCCAGGAAAAAGGTAGTGACCTTGACCTGACATTGACTCCAATATAAACCGGTCAAATTTAATCTTACTGATACCATTATTTAGATAAATTGTCTTATTAATTCTGTGATATTTTCAAATTATTTAAATACAAAAAATATGAGAAGAATCCAAACTTGACTAGAGCCGAGTTTATTGCAAAGCAACGGGTAGATCTTCCGTTTGAGCTGCGGGTAGGAAAAAATGACCTTGAGTCAAGACCTTGCCATATTTTAAGGTCTATTTAAGCAATCTTACAGGATATATCAACTGAAATGTTTCTCTCTGTAGTAAAAAGACGATAAAGGAATGCACAAGGGTTGTTCGAAAAGTTTGTGGTCTAGCACCATAAAAGTAAAACCAATCAAGATATATCAATGAATTCCTTTAACGTTTAATTGGCATCATCTTTGTTTTATTTATATGATAACTTATATATCACTAGTTATCTTTTTTGACAAATTGTTGATGTTTTCAAAGCAATGATATGTACAGACGGCTTAACCTCGAAAATTACATTTTTTTTCTACCTAAGTGCAACTGAGAAAAAAAAATATATCATATGAGAATTTGTCATCCAAAAATGACGTTAATTCACCTATGCGATATAACAGTATTACACCATTAAATTTGCAA